TTCTAGAAAGCCCAAAATCCACTCCGGAAGTCCTCCGGACTCCGCCCACTTCCAGGCCCCGCTCACCTACTACATGTAATTTTGTGCAGCCGCGACAAGGAGAGCTTCGAAAAAAGCTTATTTTTGCCAGTTTCATCCGCTGAAAAGCCCAGATATGGCTTCGGCATGGCGGAAAGGCTCTGAAAACCCGGAGAACGAATTTCTGGGGAGACACTGCCCTTAAATGTTGAGAGATGCTTGATGGCCGTGCTCGCGTATACGCGTCGCAGAGTGAACCGACCGCCTTCGTCATGGATTAGCTTTTTTTAGGTGTACATCTTCATTCCAATTCATTCAGTTCAGACTTCCCAACAACATAGACTTCGATGACCTAGAATATTAGGAAATTTTCATACCTGTGTACAGCCCTGATGTTGCTGCGTCGCACACCTGGTCGCGGTAAGTCACTTTAAATGAACCCGTAAGATCGCAATAATTACTAAAATGCTCAATTTTCCATGGATTTAGATGGGTACTTACAATAAAGTCCACTTACTCTGTATATGCTGGCTGGTCAAGTGCATAGTTAACGTGGAAACCAAAAAGTGGTAAATGAAGCGGCAGAGTTCGTAACACCAGGTTGACGGGAATCAACTGAGCTTTTACTGCAGTACATACCTAATAACTTCCGTTATAAGGTAGATAATTTGCACATCACTTGGCATGTAAACCTACCAGTTTTCTGATTTGGAACTTAATTATTTTCTCAACCGGGCCACGCATAACATTCAATATGTCAGGCATAAATCCAGTGCCGTTAGAACTGTTATTGCGGCGTATGAGGAAATTAGAATCTACTTTTTATAAAACTTACTAATAGTCAAGGCGGTCAAGTTCCATTTTACATTCGCTCATTTCCAGCTGCAGATGACCATTGAGGGAGTTGACTTTTCCAGTCAGATTTACGTTGAATCCCGTCGCGGCCCCTTCCAGCCAACCTGTTGATGTGGTCTAAAAAATTCCGTAACTTTGTCACATATTGTTCCTTTTCGTCCTTATAGTGGCCTAGTTTCAGCGTAACAAGGGGCGTTTTTCGATTTTTCAG